GTCTGCTCAAAACACTTGATTACAGATCGCATCATTATAGCTATCTTCAATTGCTGCTCGACGCAATAAAATAACCGAAATACTTAACCACAAACCCCTAAAAAAAAGGAACAATATATAAAAATAAAAATAAAAAACCCATCCAGTGCAAATTGTTGTATCACAAAATTTATTGGCAGCACTTATCAGATTCGCTCATAAATCTGTACGAAATACAAACTAGAGAGAGCCCTACTTTCGCAGTGAATGAGGCGTGGGTGGCTCGCTGGCTGGCTGGTTGGCAGCGAGACATTTATTTGCATGGTCCACTCTGTCTGGCAACAATCCACAAATTAACATGACATTTTTACAAGCCCAAACATGTGTACACATGAGCCTCCGGTCTGCGTCCGTTTCTGGTTCGAGTCCAGCCAGTCGAAATTAATAGCCATTCAGTCAGGACAACCAAATCAGCAGCTACACTCGACAAAACCATGCAGAGCATAGACTAAGTCAAAGTTTTCCAATTTAATTAATATCATTAGAATCAGAATTATGTGTCTCATTCAAAAATGTATGCAACACAAAACCATCCATTTTGAAGTCAACAAGAAAAAGTAAGCCATAGATAAATGATATAGACAACCAGTGTTGATCGTATTTTGTCCAAACACGACGAACATAATAATAATATAATATGAGAGTTTGATTTTCATACAATTACTCGTCTTTCGACCGATCTTTTTTATGATATAGTGATCGGATCCGACCTGCCTCAACGGATACATACCAAGTTGCAATAGCATAGCTACTAAACTGAGGCAGCAGTTCACATAAAAACACACAGACAGCCGGACATGGCTACATCTACTCTGCTACTCATGCTGATCAAGAATATATATACATATATTGTGTGGTCGAAGCTGTAACCTTCAATACGTTAATTTATACTTAATTTAATTTTACAATTGGTTGAATTTCTATAATGGTTGTATTTAAATTGTGATTTCTCTGAGTGTAGAAAATACAAGGGCCTACATCATGGCCAGTTGTGTGGACGTGGCCCAAAAAGTCAAAAATTTGAACAACATCTGCGACCGGTGAATATTGAGATCGAAGCGAACAGGTTGCCAGGCTTATGCATGTGCCGCCAGGCCATAAATTTAATTACTCAAAGGACCCAAAATGAGCAAAACAAAAAGCCATTAGCTTAGGTGCATTCAATATCCCGTACCCACTCCACCATTATATACAGCCCTTTAAAACAGAACACCCCTTTAAACCATTTCAAACCAGACAACATTCGATAATCTGGGGCAAGTGATGTGTACACACACACACACACACACACACACGCGTACATGGGCAAGGTTTTACCAAAATTTCCATTGACTGTAGTTCATAAAAAGCAAATGCTGTGTACAAAATATAAAAACACACAGCTGGGCAAATCATGACAAAACATTTGGTGAACAAGTTTTACTTTTTGCGTCCGCTTTTTCGATGCAAATATTCATACACGACAAGGACGCTGATGGCGATGATGAAGTTATCAGCAAAAACTAGCCAAATACTGGCACAGTTTCAAAAAGCAAAAAAAAAAAAAAGTCACAGAAAAAAAGGAAAGACAACAAACAAAAGAGGACATTGCAAATTCTAAACAGGGCAGAAAGTTTACACTGCAACAGAGACCTTTAGCTGGCAGCAGGGGTAGAGAAGGAGCATCAGCAGCAGCCGCCGGAGGATCCTGTGTTCCTTATGTGACCGGTAGATGGAACATGGCACATGCTGCACTTTGAGAGTGCAGAAAAAGTAATGTCAAAGCTGTAAATGTTTTGTGCAGCAGGCAGGCAGACAAGCAAACAAACAAACAACAAGTCAAATTCATGTTGACATTCTTGCCAGCCAAAATAGAATTGAAATCATTTTTGCTGCTTAAGCACTTATTTCAATGCAGTTGCGGCCAGCCACAAACTGAGGAAACCAATTTGAATGTGACAAATGCCAAAAATAAATTATATATGTCAATTAACAATTTGATTGTGGCTCATTTGCAATTTTGATAAAGTCAACTGCATAAAATTGCTCAATCAAACATGTGTGATTTGAATATTATTCAATAATCGATTTTGGTTTAATCGGCAAGCCACAGAGCTAATCTTATTTTAAAACCTTTTCTGGTGGACTGGTGGTAAATAAAAGAAAATATTGAATATTGAGTAAACTATTTAATGCTATAAGAATGCTTGTATGCGTATTTCTGCAATGTGTATTTTCTGCATTCATTTGAATTTCATACACATTTTGAGCACACTGAAAATTGCTGGTAAACAAAAATATGAAAAATGTGTAAAATCCTATTGGAGTTATTATAAGCAGCTTTGGCCAATATGAAAAAATATGCAGGTGTTGCCACTTAAATGTTTCGCAAGGTATTTGCATTAAATAATAAGCACACATTTCATTGTTGTGCACAAAATATTGCATGCCAATCTTGCAGTCTTCACGTGTTTTACCGGTAGTGAGAGCACCAGCATTCTGCAAAAAATTTGACGTATGTTGATGCTGACATGAAGTTGCCATCAAAATGATAAAATGATTCTAATAAATTTTGTGCTACGAAATATTATAATACCTCAAACTTCGAGAGCTCCACTTTTGCCTTCAAGCGGAAATTGCACATTTTGCAGAAAGCGTTCTACGGCTTGTCTATCTATGTGTGTGTGTGTGTGGAATGGTTTGGGTGGAATGGTTCTGTATGGAATTAGGAATGCAATTTGAGGTTATGTTGGCAATGTGCGCCCAGGCAGAGATCAGTTCCTGTTGTTGTTGTTGTTGTTAGTCGCTTTCGTATCCAAGCAACCGCATTGTCTGTGTGTGTGTGTGTCTGTCAGTTAGACAAACAGACAGTTGCTCTGGCAGTTGGACATATGCAGACGCTGCTCAAAAGCAACCCCAACACTCCCCCGCTTCCACCTCTAAGGCAACTATGCTAGAACTAGAGCTCATCCTAACAATTGCCTAGATATTAATAGAGAATATTTTGAGAGTATTGCTTCCGTCATGAATATAATTTTGGATGTAACAGCAGTGAACATGGGCTTCTCACAACTTTTGGACAAACCGCCCTCCACTCCTTCCCCTTCCTGCTTCACTCCAAACCCCATTTAAAGGACAGCCCCTTAGGAGTGCGCTGCATTCACTTTTGTCGTGTGCTGCGTCAGTTTCCTTCTGGCGTCTGGCAGCTTTTCACCGAAAAACTTTTCAAATGTCCATTCGTGGAGCAGCATTCAACGTCCATTCAGCTGTCTGTTTTTGTGGGTGTGTATTTTTTTCTTTAATTTTAATGATGCCTCAGCTGCCCCTTACAGCACCCCTGCCTCGCATCAGAAAGGAATGCGGGAGCTGCTTCTGCAAATTCTCAACCAAAACAATTTTGGGCATGTGCATTTTATGTGCGCTTCGGGACCCGCTTCAAATATCAAACTATTCCATGGGTGTGCGTGTGTTTCCCCTCTCGAGCTGACAATTTAAATGAGATTATTTTAGTTTTGAGCATAGTTGAAATTTCTCGAAATTTCTCGAAGCACAAGCAACTCGTTTTGTAATTTAACAATAGGAAAATATATATATATTTTTTAGTTCATATTTGACTGATTTGTGATATCATTTCTTCGCCTAACAATGAATTTGAAAAACAAATATAATTCCTGAGTATAACATTAAAATATAACGTAAAGCTTTGCAAGAATTTAAACTCTTGCAATTGAGTTTACTTTTGGCTCTATCAAGTTAATATAATCTTGCAGTTGAGTTTACTTTTGGCTCTATCAAGTTAATATAATCTTGCAGTTGAGTTTACCTTTTAAATTAATACTCTTAAAATTGTAACAGCTGCTCTGGAATAATGTACCCTGGCTTAAAAAAAAAAAGTACTCTGCATACATATGTATTGAATCTGTGTGCAGAGTTTTTCGCCAGTTTAAAACACTCTTAAAACAATAAAATCGCGATTAAAATATCAAATAGAGAATTACATGTGGGGCCAACTAGCCGCGCTGAGTTGAGTTCAGTTCAGTCAGGCCACAATTGGTGGCACGTTGCTCAAAAAGTGAAGCGACTGCAACTAGAATATAAAAATCCACTCTGAAGTGTGGCAAACGCAAACTGTGCTTGAATAAACAACTTAAAGATTTATGATGCCAAAAAGAGTGTCACATAAAATATTCACACCTTCGCTGCCGAGAATCTAACGAGCAGCAACGCATATATATAAATATACATATATGTAGGTGTATCTATGTGTATATATGTTTGTTATACGTATAAGTATACGACCCACTGTGTGCACAGTAATATAGTATGGTAAAAGTGTTGCCTCGTAACGCCAGCTGATGCCGTTGACTCGATAAAGCCATTGTTTATATACGGTCGAACGAGTTGGATTGCATTTTGGCCAAAAGTTGGCAGCGTTTTTTATGCGTTCATCATGCGGTCAGCATAAATTTTTCATCGTCGTTTGTTCGGTTTGCTTGGCTCCATTTTTTTCGCCAAATGTCTTGATCCTGGTACAGTCGTAGCCAGCTAGCTAGCTTGCTGCAACATGTTGCCTATTTTGATGTCTGTATGCCATAAATCAAAGCGTTTAATGCTAAAAATCCACAGCCAAAGTGAAAACCCGACGCCAAATGCATTTGTGCCCGCCAGCGAAAATTGTGAAAACTTTTACTTTACCCCTCCACAAACTGTAGTTGTTGTTATTGTTGCCGTTGCGGTCTTTGTGGCTGTGGTTGACTAAAGAATTGTACAAAAGCTTGCTCAGCTCTGCTTTTAAATTGAGGCTCCCCTTCCTTTTAGGAAAAAGCGAGAAAAGCTCATTGTTGGTTATCCTCAGAAGTGCCATCATGAATTTAGCATGAAATTGTTTTAGATTTTAATAAAGATATTTTCGCATGAGAAACACTTCAAGCTGGCTTTAAAATGCTTACAAAATTAGATCAAATAAAAGAAACAGATAAGAGTGAACTTATTCTCAGACTATATTCATACAAACCGAGTACTATATACAAACTCAATTGATGTGCAAATAACACGGAAAATTTTACATTATCGAAAATCATAGGAACAAATACAACACAAACTCGAGACATTAGCGCCAATGCGAAATCTTCTTGCCTGCAATGAAAAGAGTTAATGAACATGTTGAAAAATGGCAGCATAAGAATCGCATTTGTGGGTTAATAGTCTATTGCAAAACTAGCTGTGTCATATCTTTTCAAACCAATAACTCTGTTAACAATTAACCGATTTTCAAAAGCTATTAACTATGTCGAAGCTGAGCCTATTTCCAAAAACTAGGTATTTGTGACAATGGCTCTAGATTAATACTACACTTAAAGTAATCAATATTGTTTTGCTGCTTACCAGATATGCATCCATTGCTAGCTCTCAATCTTAATGAGTGTATTGATGGTGAGCTGAAAGCAACAACATGATTATAGCCATGATTTAGAATTGTTGTTTTTGTTTAAGTCATTTACTTTAAGCCATTGCGAGCAGCCTCCCTATAGTTGTTATTGTTGCCGCCATAGTTATAATTTGATTTCATACGCTGTTGTTGTTGTTGCTGTTGATTTTGCATCTCCTGCTGTTGCAGGTGCTGAAAGAACTGTTGCTGTTGATGGTGCTGCTGCTGTGGTTGTTGCTGCACATTTGGATACACCTGAGCATAGTTCCACATATTGTTGGGCATCATTTGGTTGGCAGCATTCCAATTGGACTGACCGTCAGCAGAATCGCCGCCAGCCATTCGACCATGATGCATATGTTGCCCCTGATTATTGGCATTCAATTGGGATGTCATGGCGGACATTGGCTGCAAGCCGGGCACAACCACATTCATGCCACCGCCATCGATGGCACCAGCACCGCCGCCCATCAGTGGCATCACCGAGACACTGCTCAAGGGCGTCACAGCCCCCGGCGGTAGCTGTGACATCGACATGGACACTTGATTGGTCTGTGTCGGCTGCATCTGTGGCATGCCCTGCATCGCTTGCATTGCGGGCATCATTGCCATTGGCTGTGACTGCATCATAGTCCGCTGCATCGGTTGGGCACACATTTGCCCACCAGCCGGCATTGGCATCATCGGCGCCATGTTATTGCCCATGGGCAGCTGCATTTGGTTTGGCGGCATGCCCGTAGGTGCTGGCATACTCATGGGCATGTTCATCGGCATGAGTCCTTGGCTGGCCCCTTGCATGCCCATCTGCTGCATGCCCATCATCTGCGTGGAGCTCGAGATAACTTATAGTAATGTTGGTACTGCAAAATGATCAATGCATACCTCATCATTGTAGTTCGCCTCATAAGGTATATTATTGTTGTAATTCATGTTCATTTTGGAGTTTAAAATACAAATTTATTTCGTTGCAAAAGAAAAACCTTAATAAAATCTCAAAAAAAAAATTTTTTTCGGTCGTAATTTCTGAGAGTCAACTAACTAAAACGATTTTATGTGCCAAGAAATTCAATAAATTACGGAAAATGGAAAGCTTGCTTGGAATTTGATAGTGTTTTTAAATGTATTATTATCTTCCTAACTTATAGCTATCTCTAACTATTTATACTACCCAAGGTTATAGTTGCTGTCAATTGCATGCTGGAAGCTTTAATTTAATTTCTACTATTAAACTTATTATAATAGGCAAACTTGAACAGCATTCGAAATGAACAAAGCAAAGGCTCAGCTAGATTGTGTTAAGCCAAATATTTGTCTTAATTGGCATTAGGCGCACTTAAAGCCACATTCAGCAGTCAATTAACAGCAATTTTCTTGGCTTTGTCCACTAAAACAGGCTGATCCAGTTGGTAAATTAAGTGGGGATTCAGATGACAGCGACCGCTTCGATTGAACACTCAAGGTGTCCAGTTTTTGTTTTTGCTTGTGCGGCTGCTTAATTGATGGCAATTATGCGCTTATCATTTTTTATTCTGCTTCCATTCGATTGTTGATATCAGGCTCGCTTGGCAATAATTAAAATGTTTCGTTTGAGCAAAAAGTGGACAAGCAGAAACGCATGAATAAACACCGCCAAAGTGGGGCCAATTAAAAGACACAGAGAGAGAGAGTGAGAGAGAGAGAGGGGGAGGGCGTGGAACTCCACCTGTGGATGGGACACAAAAAAGCATTAAATCAATTCCACTGTCAGCGAGCTGACAGCCAAAGAGAATCCCCCTTGGACACTCTTGGACACTGGCCACCGAAATGCTCAAAAGTTACCGCCAGCAGCTGGCGAACAGATTCGAGTCCATGTATGTAGTTGTAGTAGTAGTAGGCTTCAACAGATGGATGGCCTAACCAAACGAGAGGGCATGCATCGCTGCCTGATGTTGCCATCGACATTGAGGGAGCCACGGGCACACAAAAGGGGATCGGAGGCTGAACATTGGCTGGAGCATATTGGAGCAATGCCAGCAATTTAACACAGTGAAAACGCCAAGAAATTTCAGCAATTCGCAACGACAATGAGAAATGCGTCGAGGTTACGCTCAATCAATCTGAACAGTTGGACAACTGTCCCACAGATTCGTCTTGTGGGCCCACCATGACTGGCGGCAACCGTAGACAGGCACTGGAACAGGGACAGAGCCAAAAACGTGGCTAACTGCATATGGTCAGTTAAAGGTGTCGCTTGGCTGATGGCTTCATTAAAGTCGAGCTGAGCCCATGTTTTATTCAAGCAAAATTGCTTCAATTGGCTTTTAATTGACAGTTAAGAGCTTAAAAGTCGTATGCTCAGTTAACAACTATGGTTATTTATTTTATTATTTAAATTAATGGCAGAAGTCAGTAAAAGAACAAAATGGTATATTAGCTTGGGTAGGCAGGGGAAGAAAAAGTCTGGACACCCAATACAGACGTATTGGGCTACCAGTCTAGGTTTTCATTCTTGAGGCAACGAACTCCAGTTCAATTTCCTTGTACTGAGAGTATACACATGGCCATGGGCATTTTCGCAGGCTGTCTCTCTTTTGAAGGAAAGGTGTGAAAGTGCCTTGCCTGGCCAATTTGAGTTTCGCTCAAGGCCTCTGGGGCCTGGAGCCCAGATGAGTTTGATGTCAAACTGCTCCGTTAGCTCCATGCAAAGATCTGCAACAGTTGCTTACAGATTTTGATGGCAGATTGACTAACTGGAACTATGCATCTCATAGGCATAGATTAGTAGAATAATTGTTTGCCTGTCGAGAGACACTCTTACAACCATTTTCCATTTTTTTATCCATTTTCTCGTCTTATCATTGAGTACTCTTATTAGTTAATCATTTCTGGCAAAATCTGCCCAAGGCAGTTCAGTTAATGGCATTCTGCGTCGAGTACTGTGAATATTTGCAGCTCTAGCTGATTACGTGCCAATTTCTTCATAGTACTTTAATCGCCATAGTGAATACTGTCCGTCTGTCCGTTTGTCTGCTCCCTCGTCTTCATTTCCTTCGTTATTTCCGCGCTGCTAATTCGCAAAAGAAAGTAATTAAGCGAACTTCTTTTGCTGCAATTCCGATTTGATTTTGATGCGCTCTCAAAAGCGGAGGGTCAATCAAGGAGAGTGGTGGGAGGGGGAGGGGACCGGGAGGGGGAGGGGTGAGAATGGTAATAGGAGCTCTAACCACTAATGCATCATTCACACTTTTTCTCACATCATTCGCATTAAAGTCCTTGCCAGCCGGCCACATCTAATTAGTATGCCATTTGTGCTTTGCTCATGATTTGAAATTACCTTGGATCTCTTTACTCTACCTCCCTCTCTCTCTTTCCCTCTCTCCCGCTCTCTCTCTCTCTCTCTCTCTCTCTCTCTCTCTCTCCCTCTATACTATACTATATGCTATTGTTAGCCATTTGGGCCAACTTCGACTATGGGCTGTTGGTAACTGTAGCTGTTGCAGCTTTTGCTGTCTAATTAAAACTCGTTTAACAACGTTTTCAATTGGTTCAAGAACCTGTTGCCTCAAAGCATCCTCTTCCCCTACCATCCACCCCCCTTGACAAACCTATTACCCACTGTGCAATCATTTTAATTCTTTTTATTTTTTGTCATGCAGCGTAACAAGGTTTCCATTTCTGCCACGACTGTTGCTGCTGAATCTGCTTCTGCTGCTGCTGCTGCTTTTTGCTGATTGTGTAATTTTAATGTAATTCGCTTTTATTGTTTTTTGTTCCACTCTCCGACCGTCCTTGTCCTTGTCGTCCTCGTAGCTGTCGTCTGCGTGTCTGACATTAATTGCAACTGAAAGGAGGGGATAGGGCAAAATATAATAATTTATTTTCGCCAACTTTTTATGCATGCTTTATTGATTCAATTTCGCCACTATAAGTGCGCATTATAGGTGTGTACATATATATATATATATATATATATATATATATATATATACATATATATAGTAAGGAGTGTGGGTGTTTCGGGAGCAACCATAAATCAAACAAATCGGTTTTTGGGCAGGCCACCTTCCCACCCCACCTACCCGAGGAGCAATTAAAGTTTTTTTTTTTCCTTTTCAAGGGTCTGACTGCAATCATGGAGCGGTCGAAACATAAAGTAAGACGCTAATTGTGGGCAGTCTGGGGAGGTGGTAACTGGCAGGTGCTGGTCGCTGCTGGCAGCTCGCACAAATCTACAGTACAATGATAATTTATTACACCAACCGACACGACAGCAAGTTGTGTGAAAATCATGCAGAGCATTGCACTGCTTCAAGAAGGGGGCTAAGAATTACTGCTGATAAAGTTGATAGCAAAGTCTGCTGATGATAAAATCGGTGGGTTATTGAGATTCTAGTTGTATATACAAACTGTTATCTAATTGTAATTTGCTGAAATTGACAATAAAACCTGCCGATGATAGAGTCGGTTCGTACTCGAGATGCTATCTATATGGACAATCTTCCCTTTGTATTATTACTGAATTAAGGCCAGCTTCAACTTAATTAGTTCAAAATAATTTCAACAACTTAAAATATGAAACTACGAGAAAAGTTTTGCTGTTGCGAGCATGTGTAAAATACGCTCTTTAATCGAATCCCTTTAGTCAAAGCCTCTGCCCTAGATACATTATACAAAAACACGTGCAGATTTTAGCCAGACAAATAACTTCCGTCTGAACATGGAGTTTAGTTGTTATTGCAGTTGTTGTTGTTCGGTAGAGGCGAACTAATCAAAAGCGGCTTTGCAGGCACTGTCAAAGGAGTACATAGTATGGTACCAATATTTATCTGGCAATCGTATTAAAGCCCAGGTGGCGCATCGAGTTGGGCGCAAGAGTTATGGCCAAAGGTGGGGGGTGGTTGGAGGTACTATAAAAAAAAGAATGAAACGGAAAAAATGCAGACAAACACGAAAACGTTGAGTTCATCAAAAGGGGATTTCGAAATACAAATGAATTTTCGGCAAAAGCATAGGCACCGGCAATGAGTACTGAGTCCTGTGTCCTAAGAGAAATGCCGAGAGGAGAGCGTTGCTCAAATAAACACCCACACACGGCCAACAGACAACAGGAGGTAAACGAGTCTGCCAAACAGGAGCGAGTATAAGTATAAGTATGAGCATCAGAATGAGTACGAGAACGAGTACTCGTCGTACTTGCAATCAGTCCAAAAATAACTGAAACACTTGCCGGCAGTCAAACCCTTGCCCATCCCGACAGTTGCTTGTAGGTGTTGGGCTCTCGAAAAACACAGCAAAGCAGAAAAATCGCAAAACGAAAAAAGAAAGGCTTTCTGCTTACTCTGCGAGAAATGCCAATCAACCCTTTCTTTGGCCTGGTATGTGGAATATGCACGAGCGAATGCCAGCCGCTAGTCTTTGCCGGGCTTTGGGGAATTTCCAAGTGGAGCTGGGGTAGTTGGGGAAGGGTTCGTATAACGTCAACATCAACGCCGACTCATTTGTATTTCCTTGTGTCTGTCGCCGTTGTCGTTCTCGTTGTCATCTTGGCCCGGCTGGTTGTTGTAATTTTCCAAATCATTTCAGCGATTCAGTTGGCAAACTTTTCAAACGTTTAACTAGCCGACATTCCGGGACGTTTAGGATGCGGCTGCTAAAAGTGTATGGCATACCAAAAGAGGGGAGAGGGGCGATTGCGGGGCGGCTCAGTGGCAGCGACGAGGAAAGCGCAAAATGAGCAAATACGTGAAGTAAAAGGCAGCGAGGCGGATTTAAAAGTTTAAATAACTTTTACGTATCTCATTACTCAGAGCGACAACTTTACGAACTCTGAAGACCCCCAATACTCCTCTCTCTCTCCCTCTCTCTCTCTATCTCCCTCCCTATCTCTCGTTCATTCACGCAGCCAGTTTGTCTGCAGATTGTGAAGCCCTGAGCTCTGAAATAATCACAATAAAATCGCATAATTCAATTACAAGCCTC